TCAGAAGTTAGATTAAACATGATGAAACAAGAACATTATGGCAAGTGTAACTACTCTATTCCGAGCTCTTTCTATACCGATTTCAGAGAAGACTTAGAATTCGAAATTGAAATCGGATGTGAGGGAGCATCTGACATAGTCCAAGGTTTCCCGTTTATGGTACAGAATTTACTTTGAAAAATGTTTCTATGTACTTCTAATTATATTGATTTCGTGTCAAAAATTGTAATTGCATGAGGATGTTGTGAATGAGATTAAAAGCTGACGAAGCTCCATGTCCGTGGGAATACAAATGCCAAAAACAGAACCGGTTGCCTCAGCGTAAGCATATACAGAAGTCAACAGCCGTCATGTTATGCATTTGTATGTATGATAAACATCTCGTGGCATACTTCCTTCAAGGCCGTCGTGAATCCGCAGAGCGAGGCAAGCAACGATCTGCGGATTGACCGTCTTTTCGGCGGGTAAACCTACAATGTGTTGTGTCATTAGTTGACTGCAAAACTAGGTGAAATATCTTTCCACTGCTGCGCTTTGACTCGGGATCCTAAAAGATGAGAACATCTTAATCTTTGTAGGTGGACAAATCTAACAAAGTCAAAGTACTCTGGACGGACAGGATTCTCTCCTTCCATTCTCCTTTCAATCGCTGGATTGCACAACTTCTTGATGCGTTGGAAAGACAACGACCTAGCAGTGGCGTAGCCAGGATTTCGGCTTGGGGGGAGGAAGGCGACAAAAAAAATTTTCTGATGAAGGTGCTGGCGTTGGCCATGGACCCAGAAAAAATTTTTGGTACCCTTCTTAAAATTTTTGCGGGCCCAGAACTCCAAATTTTAGAAAAAAGGGACGTGGCGTCAGCCACGCCCCGAAAAAAAAAACTTTTATAAGGCTAAATTTAATTTTTAAAAAACTTTAAAAATTATTTTAATTACTTACAAGTATAAATAAGTCTCTTGCACATTTTTATAACTCATGTAAGTGACTTTCAAAAATTTCGCGACCCATTCTCGGAGGAGGGGGGGGGAGCGCCCCCCCCCCCCCTCGGTACGCCACTGCGACCTAGGGATTGTGGACCTTTTATTTATTTTCGTGGAGGTTTGTGATACTTTTTACCTCTTCGTCGTCTGCTGTTTCTTCGAAAGGTGATGATTCTAACGTTACCATTTTGTCACTTGGAGATTTTGAAGGTGAGGCGCTTCCACAGGCTGCTTCCAAGGCAATTTTACATTCGCAGGGTTATGAGAATAATCTTGACACGAGACTGGTGTTCGTTTTGGGATCCGTGACGTATTGTATTGAACTGCATGATAACTGAATTCTCAGTATGTAGCATAAATTTCGCGTATTGATAGAAATTTTCAAGCAATGTGTAGCCGCTTCCGAAAAAAGGAGTGGGTATGGTTACTGCCAAGTCTCGTTTTGAAATTTGTGTATCGCAAAAAATCGGAGAGAATTCTGTCAGGCGGCTGCCGCGTACCTTTCGCTTAGGAAAAGCGACATCAACGAAGATCTTTAGCTTTCATGAAGACGCTTTATAGATAAGGGAGCAGATTTACAGCAAATCCTTCCTTGAATGATGTTAGCTCAACATTGCTGCTGATGTTACGTGTCCCACAGTAGAGGACTAGCGTGTGCATAAATACAGTGAGTTTTACTACCCTTCCCTCAAGAAGAGTAAGATTCGTACTCACGATGAATCGAACGATGTGAAGATGACATCTTCGAAGCCAGTGACGATAGATGTATGGTAAACAGGAGGACGAATCATCCGTGTCGAGTTCCGCCCGCGCAGTAAGTGCGACGCAAGGTTGAACACGGCTAAAGACAGTGCACTTCATGTTCAAAGACAGAACAGAAACATCTTGCGCGATTCGCTGCATATTTGCAGATAGGAAGTTTCGCTGAGAACCTCATTCTGCTGCACAGACTTTGAATGCATGATTAAGCCACTAAATAATCAGGAATGCGTTCTCCAGTAATCGTATTGTCCGTTCATTTTTCGGCAAAATAAATATGTTTGGCTCACAACGAAGACCAATGGAATGGTAGGTTTGCAAAGCCCACTACTGCACAGAGCCTTTTGCAAATTGTCTTCAAAGACAGAGCACGTACTTTCTCCCGCACATAGAATTGTTTAGGTATCGGGTTTTCCAGCGTGAGGGGTACGCCCTAAGCCATGCAAGATAAATTGGATGCCCTCCAGTTTTTTGCGGCGCTATAGAAGCTTGGCGGTAACCATATCATCCTTTCTCGGGAGCGGTTACATTGCTTGAAAAGTCTGTCAAAAAACAAAATTTATGCTACATACTGGAAATTCAGTGAAAGTATTTACTTAAAACCCTACTAATTTGAATTATATCTATACTGATTCTAGGGACGCAAGAAGCGGAACGGAAATTGTTCACGCATCTGTTTTAGACCAGCATTAAACCTCAGGCTTGATATAATGTGCTTATTTTGGAGCCGAAATGGGGTGTATAAGTTTGCGAGGACCTCTTTTCTTTGATGCATAAATTTTAAGAGCATTACTTACAGTTACAACACCTTCAATTTTAATACATTTCCCTCCTGTACTATTCGTGTTCAGGCATCTTCTACCTCGAAGAGTGATAGACTTTGTAAAGAAACAGTTTTTGCCCCACGGATTTCAGGGCCCTGATGGTAGAATCGCAAGGCAAATATATTGATGAGAAGCGAATCTATGAGCAAGCTGGTCAGCAGCGACCAGTCCCTTCCAATCTAAACAGCAGCACATCCCACTCGTCCTCTTGTTTGCTTTTATTTTCTTCGTTCACTCCCCGAAAACGCTATGTTTCCCGACATGACAAACACAACTTTGTATTCCCTGAAACATATGTTCCTTCTAATCTTTTCCGAAAGCCCCATTGCTACGGAAGCACCACTATCAATCTTACTATTTTATCTCATTGCTGCCTCCTTGCTGTCCTTTTCAGGGTATAGAGGGGATTCTCTTACCTATTTCATTTCCATCAGTAGAAGATGTCATGGTACTTTTCAAAGTGACAAATTCTTCGATGTACGGCCGCTCACGATTCAGGGTTTATCGAAAAGCTCTTCTTCAAAATACATTTGTTATACAAAAACATGCTTAGAACTGCCGTAATATTAGGTTGTCCGGAAATTAATGCCGTTTTTTTTGCGCGATCATGATATAAAAATGTGGGAAGCATATCATTCGATAGAGCAAAGCAACCTCTACAAGATTGCATTAGAAGATCGCAAAAATTTGATTTACATGAGTTTGAAAGCTACATCCAAACAAAATTGAAGCACCCAAAAACAGACTTCCGTCCGAAAAGATCCTGTGGACCTCCAACTTGGTCACGCATATGCTCCCTACACCAAACATTTATTTGCATACTTACCACGTTTTTACAATGTGAAAACTAGAATTTGAAATAAAGCAAAAATGCGAAATATCGCTTTTTCGGGCTCTCTATGCTAAATTCAATCTTTCTCGGAAACAAACCTTTGAAGGAAGTTGAAAACCTGTGGCTCTACTTCTTTAGGTTCATAGTACAGAAATACCTATGTCATAATGGCTCAGCAATGCATTTGCTAGGGCATGCCGACTTTCATTTTCTCAATTTCTAGCCGTGGAAGAATATCGCTATTGTACATATGTTAATGTGGACGATATATGGAGGACCAAAGTGGAAGTCCGCAGGATGTTTCTGGCAGGATCTGATTTATGGGTTGTTCAAGTTCCTTTGGATTTTGCTTTCGAACTTCATGTGATTCGAACTTTTTGGAATTGTTCCAGCTTGATACAAATTGTCCTGCAGTATATGTATTACATATAAATGACAATTGCTTTATGCTTTCTCGTCCGCAAAGCAGCTTCGATGTCGTTCTGATTATCTACCGTAACCTGTGATACCAACGATACTATTCCAAAACCAACAATATATTCAAAAATAAAATTTCATGTAAGCTTCCTTACCGTTTCTTTTTGAACGATTGGTGTGCAGAATAAAATTGACTATAGTCGGCATTCCGGGACGAAAACTTGTATATTATTTTTTCTGAGGATGTTTGCAATACAGTTGCCGATCCTGCGACAAAATCATTGAGGCTTGCAGCAAAGCATGCTTGATACAAGAGAATAACATGCTTTTTATCTTATAAGTCGGAATGAAAGGGGCTGTAAAGCTTAAAATTTGTTTCGACTCCCTTGAAGATTTGCATTATGAACGGCAAAGCAATCGTGTTAATGCACTTACTCATAATTCTATTAAACTGGTATCATTTTGATTCTCGAATGTTAGGTTGTTTTGGATTACTGTCCCTTATTCCTCAAGATTCATGATTCATTTATGCTCTAAAAACAAATTCATGCTCTCCCTTGAGCGTTTTGTTGCTAACCTATTGATGTTATTGCAAGGATCTAAGCCGACGAAGATTAAAAAATCGAGTTTTAATACTCAAGTTGATATCGCAAAATTGCTTGCGGTGATAATTTTGAACCTCTCACTTACAAGGTTCTATGCGCTATTTCTTCATACTAAAAAAAGGTTTCAATAAACATGTACAATTGGAAAATCACAACTATAAATACGAAAAACACTTTTTTACGCGTTTACGACTGTATGGTAATTCTCGAAAAGATTTTTTTTGGGGCGATCACATTTCTTGCGAGCCGACCCAAAACTTGCAAACATGATTGCATAATCAATTTTTTTGGAAAATTTTACCTTTTCGCATTCATTGAGGAACTAAGTGCTGTTGTTCTCTATATGAGATTTGATTTTGCAAAATGGTGTTGGATGGAGATTTATGAAAAGAGAGGCAAAACTTTGAAACAAACTACTTACAGTTGTTGTTACCACCTTGATGTCATCAAGAAAGTGCTGCATTCTCACTAGTTGGACACCTTTCACTCTCAATCTCCAATTCAATTTTGTAGTATCGCAAAAAGCTCGAGTAGTACCTTCATCTGTCCGAATATCTTTTATCCTTCAAATTTTTCTCTTAGCATGAACCTACAGCTTCTCAAGAGACCTCAGCCTTTGCCTCGATTGATAGAGGAGAAGGATGGAGTGCACGCCCAATGGGGAGTTAAGGTGAGACTCTACAATTAACTTCAATAAATCAAATTAAAATATGTATTTTACAGGCATTTTTCTACAGAAAAAAGGGCTTTCCTCTGTGGTCATTCAAAGCTCAAGCACGAGTTCGATACTCATCGCTGGTTATTACAGGGCAATTTCCAAAACGTTGCAAAGAAATACCACTGGTGAGTTCCACCTTATTATTACTAGCTCGCTTAGAGCTATATGCTTGGTAATTTAAAAGGCTGTAAAAAATGGCTTTTCTTGTTTTCCTCTCAATTGTCGTTCGGATCACTTCACTGAAAGCTAAGATATGTGTGAATTAAATTGGTTTTTGAGCTTTCCATCCAAGGTCCGGCCAGCGTTGGCTTTGAGCTACCCTTTAAGGAGATAGTACGGGTACTGATTACAGCAAGACAATAACATTTTGCTTCAGAATTGCAAGTGGCAGTATAAATATTGGTCTGTTCTTTTAGCAAGAAAAATAAAGAATCACTTTTGCGTATCATACTACGAGAAATACATTTATAGTAATGACAATTCTTCTCTCTGCGCCTCTAGTTGTAATAGAAAATCGTACATAGAAATGAGAGATGTTACATATATTACATTACTCTTAGCATCTCTACTCGCTTTACTGTGAGTTTGAGCGCAATATCTATTGAAGCTTATTATCTTTGATCTACGCCCAAAAAGAGAGAGAGGAGAGGAAATAGTTTGGTTTGGTCTCTTTACGAAGAGCAATTTGTAAACTCGCTATAAGTTATGCTGAAGTTTTAGATTGACATTGGCTACGTTGAGGACGAAGGTGACATTCTCGATGTCCGTGGATGTAATTTTCGCCTCTTGCTATTTGGAATCGATAACATCGTGGTGGGTATTGTTCGGCTTCTGATTTCTTGTCTTTAAGCACTACTTTGTTACAGCAGATACGAGATTGGCTCCGATTTCTTATCATCCGGCAACGAGTACCACATTCCATTCTAGGGAAACCATTTGAATGGCAAGTAAGTCTACCACTTTGTTTCTCAAAAAATAAATAAATTTCCCCTGCAAGAGGAAAAGCTCATTTTTGAAATCGGCCGACTACGTCCGGTAGAATCTTCTTTACAGATGCAACCTGTCAAAAACAATAAGCAACTGAAGATCTCCATCTTTTCACCACTCAACTGCTTCCGTCTTTTCTCATAAATACATCGATGAATGTTACGTCAAATTGTGATTGTTTTGTTATCCGTGAACAGATTCTGTGAAGGACAAGCTGCATTTATCCGTTTGGTATGATTTGCCATAACGCTTGCTTATAATAAATGTTATTAGCTTAGCAGAGCTACTATAGTGTGGACCGCGGCCAGCTTCCCATAGGTACCGCCGCGGCGCATACGCAACCCGCGCTCGGCCTGACGCTTCTCGTTCATTTATGAGTAAAAAAGCATTTCTACATAATGGAGGAATGAAATAAGAAGTGAAAATCATCAGTCTCAGCTCGAGAAGAGCCTAGGCAAGAAGAGAACGTTCACAGCCCCCACTAGCGCGCAGATATCAGTCAATCTCCTGCATGCTAGTATGAAAGTACCGCTGATTGAGAATGCTAGCAGAGACAAAGAGTCGAAGGCTACTTTCGAAACGTTTCCTTCTGTGATCATCTGAAAAAAGTTAAAAAGCGTAAGCTAGCGAGCACATTTGTACAAAATTATATGTACTTTATAAATCAATCGGATAGGCACGCCTACTCTGTAATCAAAATCTTTAGAGAAATATTCCACTAAATTATGCTAAAATCTCCGCTATCGAAAAAAAGAGAATTCCTGAGACAAAGGCTGTTAAGACTATTAAGGCTCTCAAAAACCCATCGTAGGAAGTTCTCCTGAGTCGTCTACACCTGAAACAGAGCGTTCACAAACAGAACAAAGCCAGTTTAGAGAAGAAAACATAACAATTTCCATATGAAGCAGAAACGATGGCGCACTGAAGGCATGCGCTGCGGGAGCGTCGCGCAGGTACCTATGGGAAGCTGGCCGGGGTCCACACTATAGATATGTAAAGACCCGCAACACTGAGAAGAGAGGAAAAGTAAGGAAGGAACGAAGGGAGGGGATCAGGATGAGAAGTTCACCGAATATCGCGCCCTACTCAACTCGTATGGCAATCCTATGATTTGTCCTACTCTGTCAATAGTAGGTCAATTGAAAAGCTTGCACAAAAAATATAGTTGGGAAACTTGTTCAATGGTTGATCCGTAATCTGCATGCAATAATCATTCATGGCGGAGTCGGTATCATATAAGGAAGTGGTTGGTGAATAGTCGGAGCAGGCAGCGCGCAAGCACGTTCCAAGCACGTTTGAATTTTTTCTATGTCTAAAGGTTCTTCCTTCGTCTATTATAATTAGTTGCGTGATGCCATATTGCATGGTTTACAGTAAGTTTTGGTTCAACATTCATCTGAATCCTCGAAAGCTCGTCTGCGTGAATTATGTGATGTGCTGTTTAGAAAAAACTTATAGAGAATTGACAAACGATGGAGTGGCATGGCCATATTATGCCTATGATCGGGGGGTTTTTCCCCGTTATACGGTTTCAAACTGCTCACATCGGAAGACGACTCCCAATACTGCAAATGCTAAATTATCTTCTACTAAATGCTACAAAATTTTTCTGCCTGGCAGCGGAAGTTCCATCCGCATCAGTAGCGCATTCACCCTTGAAAAAAAATAATCATAACTCCATCCAGGTTATCGTTTCGCAGATATGGAAGAGGTATTCGAACTAACATTGGAAGACCCATTTTCTAATATGCAAATCTTGAATTGTATTATGTGGCTACAAGACTGCTTCTATAAACGGTTTCCACAGTACATATTCAATAGAAAACAAAAAAATTTTAATCCACGTTTCTTCATTTTTTCTTCACGCCTGTGTATTGGGCAAGTTTTTCGAAGTTTTCTGCACCAACCGAATCCTCTATCGAATGGTACTAGATCTACTCAGGCTCTAGACAGACAAGTATCAAGAAAACGTATCTACGGCTACACCTGCTCAACGGAGAACCTTAGGGCGAAATTTCCGTAGAGATGGCATCTTCGCAGGTGGGCAGTCTTGCTTAATACTGCTTTCAAGGACAAAACTAAAACTAGTCGATTAACAATCTTCAATTGCATCATATGGTATAGAAAACTTTGGAAAAGCTTGCAAGTAGGCAAGTTAGGAAGAAAAAAACGAAAAAATTCTTACAATGGGCACTTTATGTTCTTGTACATGGCCTTTTGTTGTTGTGGCAAAAGTCCCTGTCACTGGCACCTTCCAAACAATTATACTACGCTGTACCGAAGAGTTCATCTATATGGTCTTTGCTTCAAGGGTGTTGTTGTAGTCGGGGTGTACTCAAACTGGTTGCGCTTATCAGTCTGAACTTCCGCCAGCGCAGCAGCCCTGCTAGTCTTGCATTTATTGTCTTGCCAATAAGATTGTAATTATTTGTATTTTCATATACTCTTGACTACCAACTTTCCTACCCTCGACGCATCTCTCTATAAAGCTGCTGAATCTTTGCTGCTCATGCTGAGAGATAAAAATTTTTCAGGTGCAAAATGTTTTGGTCTCTTCTAATTATAATTCCTGTTGGCTACATTATAGCAAGGTAGACATTTATTCTTGTGTCTGACAGTCCTGATTCGACTGCATATACAATCCAGGTACCTTTGGGAGCTGCTGCAAGTGGGAGATCTGTCTTCGAAGGCTGTTGTTATCACCGGGTGTGACACAGGATTCGGTCGCGAGTTGGCCAAACGTTGTATTGCCAAGGGTTTCACTGTCTTTGCAGGTTGCCTCACTGAAGAGGTATCGAATATTAAGCCATGTAAATTAAGCAGCTTGAGTGTTCAATTTATAAACGTTGAAAGGCTGCTCAAACAAAGCCTGTGCAAGAAATCTAGAATTGGCAACATTTTGAGTAAGAAGTTGGCAAGAAAAAATGCCAGTTCCTCCTTTGAGAACTCTTCCAAGGGCTGGAACAAAAACTATGAAAAATTGCTGAGTTTGGACGTAAATCTATAATCAGTTTAGTGATCGTGAATTACTAATTGAAGCATGAATGCTAAAAAAGAAAGGATGCCGCGTCAAACATTTTTTAACCATTGTGCAGCCCTCTTTATTACACTCGTTTCATGATCAAAAATCTTTGGTAGACGTAACACTATGATTTCTTTCACAATCTTTTTTTTCGAAATTCCTTTTGCCTGAATGAGTTACATAGCTTTAAAAGAATGTGAATATCTCATTTTCCATACCTTCCTGTCTCAGCAAGTTATGCTAGCTCTGTAGGCAAGTTCAAACCCATATTAAGATCCCTAAGAGAATTTTGTTACACAAACTTGCATTAGGTTTTCAAGGCACGGTTTTTATTATGAGCAAATCAGAAAAGGTATTTTTTGAACCCTTTTTTTTATGACAACGCTCATTTATCTACAGGGGCAATCGTCATTGAAAAGAGAATGTCATTCAAGCAGTCTTCATACTGTTTCCCTTGATGTGACATCCGATGAAAGCGTCCATAAAGCGAAGGAATATGTTGAGCGCAATTTGAATGGATTAAGTAAGTCGCAAAAATTGGAAGTGCATAAGGAAAAATCTCTGTTCAGAGTTATGGGGTGTTGTAAATAATGCCGGAATTTTCTCCTGTTATGGTCCTGACGATTGGACTTCACTTGAGGACTACAAGAGAGCGGTGGACGTAAACACCTTTGGAGTGATACGCGTTACTCACGTAAGTACTGAGCGTTTTCTTTTTTCTTATTGAGTGATTGTCACTTTCAAATTCAATCTTTTGTCTGTTCAGGCATTCAAGAAGTACGTGAAGAAAGCAGAGGGACGTATTGTTACTGTGACCTCGGTGAACGGCAGATTGTCTTCACCTGGGAGTGGACCGTATGTAGTCAGCAAATTCGGCGCTGAGGCTTACATGGATGCGATAAGGCAAGAACTGTATGCGATGGGAGTGAAAGTCTCCATTCTCGAGCCAGGAATCTTCAGAACACCATTGATCAATGAGAAAGCCATGCTAGACCGGATCGAATCGGTAGGTGACAAAGCTAACCAAGAAAATGACCGGTATTGCGAATATTTTCTCAAGAACGCTGTTTTCTAGTGAACATTGAATGTGATATCTGAGGCCTCTTTGCCCGTAGTCACTTTTCTGTACTTAATGCACCCTCGACGTGAATTTTGTTTTCACTCTTTTTTCCGTGTTCAAAGCAGCAAACCAGTGACAAAAAAAAAAGCAGAGAACAAGAATAAAGAATATGCGCAGCCTATCGTAATTATTTTCAAGTCGCTGCAGAGCGAACGAAACCAAGACAAACATTTTTTACTATCATTTCCCTACTGATTTGAAAAGAATTGTCTTACAGCTTCACAGAGACCCTTTTTCAATTCATTTTCTTTCCAGGTTTGGTCAGAGGTTGACTATGACACGAAAGAGGAGTATGGAGAGAAATTCAAGGACAATTGTGCGTAGAAAAATGCATCAGGCACCATCAAATCTTGAGAATTTCAGTCGGCAAAATGTGGAATCATACATACGTGTCAATGAGTTCGACGAAGATCCACTATGTAGTTGACAATTACCTCCACGCACTAACGGCTATGTATCCAAGGCATCGGTGAGCTTACCTGTCTCTTCAATATTGTCTCTTTAACTGTGGTGCGTTCAACAAAGTGCGGTATTACAGATATTATTGCGGCTGGGACGCCATCCTGCTGTACATACCCTTATCGTTGATGCCAACGTGGTTTATGGACTTTGTTATAAGAAACATTGGCCATCATGAAGTCCTACCAGCATTTTTGGAAAAGAAACTGAAGAAAAACAACTAAATTAGCTAATAACATATGTGATGAGCGGTCATAAACTATATACAGAACTGTTTTTCAAAACAAATGGTAAAAGCGAGAGACCCCTTTCCACTTATTCTAAAATCTCATCATTATTCGCTTCAGTGCGGGATTCGGGGAAGGATTATGAGGTTTTGTACTGGTACGAAATTTTTATTCAGATACAATTCATGAGAAGAATGCGAAAAACTACAGTTGTGACAGTGGAATGTGAAAAATTTCGGCGAATTCGCCGAATTCGCCGAATTCGCCAAATTCGCCGATGTCGCCGAATTCGCCGATGTCGCCGAATTCGCCGATGTCGCCGATGTCACCGACTTTGCGTCTTTTCGTCATAACTCCCTTCGTTTTCAATGGATTTCAAATTTGAAGGCAGATTTGGATTCAGCTCGCCGAGACGAAACTTTCCGTATATTGAACTGCTGTAATTGGCTCGGTCACGGTAAGTGCATGGTAGGAATCCGTTGCATCCTGTGGTGGTGTCTTCTAGAGTGTGTATTTCGGCGCATAATGTAGGCAAAGGTTTAAGATAAAGAGCGTTTGATGGAAGAGTTTCTGCAGAATGTTTCCAGCAGAAAACCATATCCTTTTTTGCAGTGGAAAAAAGAGAAAGGAGTACGCGAACTTAGTAAATATGCATGAACCACTTACCGTCAAACAAACATAACTATACAGTAACATTACGATTAGCAAAACGGTTATAATCTTTGTAATCAGCATGTCTTGTTGCTTATGTGAGCAAAGTGACACACCGCATGACTCTATGATATTCTGCTTCCAGCAAAACTTCACTTTTTTCTGCAGACGCCTCTTTGCAACGCTGTGGGCCAGCCCCTTTCACACTTAAAAGATTCCGGTAAGGCGAATCGGAAAGAGTTGTTTCCGTAGATAATCCAGCGGTGAAAAGTAGACGGAGACATGCTTTATAAAGCGCGAAAAGAGATGGTGAATTCTGCAAAAATCACGCGCCTTTAAATTCTACTCGCCATAACTTCCTCCGGAATAAGTATATTTTGAATCCGAAAACGGTGCTGTGCTCAGCTCATCAAGGCGAATCTTTTGGTATACAGCATGTCCTTGATATTTCGATTTCAGTATTCTTGAATCTTTCTGAGGACGTCTTTTCGCGAAGGTGTAAAGCAGCGAGCATTGTCCCGAGTACATTCCAGCAAGGATGATTCGATAGCACTTTTTCTGTAGATCATAATGTGCTAAATAGTAGCCGCAGGTTTCTCTTCAAAGGGAATAGAACGGCTGGTGAATTGTGGAAAAATCTTGTCGTCCCAAATTCTACTCGCCATACCCGCAGGATACGAAGCTATCTTGTTAAGCAGATGTGATTATCGTAATCAGCAGGTCGGATAACCTCTATGAGCAAGTTTTCCGAGATGTCCGGGTTATTTCATTTTTTCTCGTTTTACGCTCTGGAAGCTCGCCGATAGATTTTGGTCAAAATGTTGATGCTCTTGAATTGTAAGGAAACTTCGCTTATAGAGGTTTTCGAACACGCTCTTTACGAAAATCGTGGTCTTTGAGAATTACAGTGTCTTTTTGGAGAGATACGGTGAGGTAACTGTAACTGCACCACGAAAGTGCGTAACTTTGCCCGCACTTCTCGCGTATCTCTCAGAAACCTTGCTTGCTTGCTTTTCTATGTCAAAGTGAATAGGAACTGTGCTATCGAATGGTGCATGAATCGAACTCCAGTCTATAAAATTCGCCGAGTTACGAGCCTACGAAAACACGTCCTCATGAAATTTGCACAAAATGTAAAGATCGCCTACTTTGTTGAAATTCCGTCGTGAGTAGTTGCATGACTAATTGCAAATGTTATTCTACCCCGCCAGTACTCTGCGTTGATACCACGAATTTCAACAAAGTAGGCGATCTTTACATTTTGTGCAAATTTCATGAGGACGTGTTTTCGTAGGCTCGTAACTCGGCGAATTTTATAGACTGGATTCCGATTCATGCACCATTTGATAGCTCAGTTCCTATTCACTCTAACTTAGAAAAACAAGTAAGCAAGGTTTCTGAGGCAGGGTTCATACTGAGCCGCACAAAGCGGCACAGTTCCAGCACAGCGCTCGAACTGTGCTCGAACTGCGCCGGAAGTGTGCTGCATGCGCAGTTGGAGTATTCTGACCGTTTGTGACGGATTTTCTTCTAGGTTTCTCTCATTTCGGGCCTTATTCCTCCACCCCGCTTTTCCTTTTAATGAGTGAAACTCCGAGCGCAAAGCGGGGTTGAGGAATAGGCGCTGTTCTGCTTTGTGTGTCCGATTATGCGTGTTGTTCCGCTCGTTCATGTCTTTTCGTTTTATTCTTGCATAAAGTACTCCATTTATTTCCAGGAGGCCGTTGCAATGTTTTCGCAGGCATTCTTCTTGAAGGAGAGCAAAAACAGTGCAGAAAAGCAGGAAATTCCATCAATCTGTTGACCACTATTGGGCATGTATCCTCTCAACCGCGTTCTTTTTCAACAGATTGATGGAATTTCCTGCTCTTCTGCACTGTTTTTGCTCTCCTTCAAGAAGAATGCCTGCGAAAACATTGCAACGGCCTCCTGGAAATAAATGGAGTACTTTATGCAAGAATAAAACGAAAAGACATGAACGAGCGGAACAACACGCATAATCGGATACACAAAGCAGAACAGCGCCTATTCCTCAACCCCGCTTTGCGCTCGGAGTTTCACTCATTAAAAGAAAAAGCGGGGTGGAGGAATAAGGCCCGAAATGAGAGAAACCTAGAAGAAAATCCGTCACAAACGGTCAGAATACTCCAACTGCGCATGCAGCACACTTCCGGCGCAGTTCGAGCACAGTTCGAGCGCTGTGCTGGAACTGTGCCGCTTTGTGCGGCTCAGTATGAACCCTGCCTCAGAAACCTTGCTTACTTGTTTTTCTAAGTTAGAGTGAATAGGAACTGAGCTATCAAATGGTGCATGAATCGGAATCCAGTCTATAAAATTCGCCGAGTTACGAGGCTACGAAAACGCGAGTACTCTGCGTTGATACCACTGCT